TTCTGAAGTTCCATAGATGGATGGTGGTTCTTAAGTGTGCTGTATAATTGTCTGCCTGGATAATGTGCTTTATTCATACATTTTAAACAATCAGCAATATGTATTGCCATTTCCTTCTCCACTGAAGGCATTGCCTTCTTTCCAGAGAACATCACCAGTCATTACAGAACTTGCAGCCTCCCCAGCAATCTCAGATCCTGCTTTCTCCTCACTTGAAAAGATACATCTCCAGTAGGAATCCTGCCGACTTTCCTCTTCTCAATCTGCTGAGGGTAATTGTAGATTACTTATAAAGCACCAGCTGCAATTCACACCTGCAGCCTTGTAGTCTGTTTGACTCAATGCTACACAGGAGGAGGAAGAGGAGGTGCTTATACCCACTAAGGCATCAGGAGGCTCAACAAGATGTCTGGTCTGTCATCAGCAATGCCCTTGAAAATTATGGACCCACTTGGTTGAGAAACTGGGCTACCAAGACTGTCAAATGGAATTTACTTGATTCCAACATTGTGTTGCAAGCCTGAGTAAAAAAATAAACATTTTCTTCATGCGGGTGAAACAGAATTATGCTGAGGAAGGAGAATTTGCCACTTTATTCCAATGGAACAGAGCCGTGAAATTTACACTAGGTGACCCGAGTGCATAGAAACAAAGAAACAGTAGGCCATTCAGCCCCTCGAGTCTGTTCTGCCATTATATAAAATCATGGCTGCTCTGTACCTCAACTCCCAATTATTCGCCCTTGTCCCGGATTCCTTGATACCCTGATCTAACAAATCTATCAACCGCAGTCTTAAAAATGTCAATGTATCCTGCATCCACAGCCTTTTGGGTGGCAGAGTTCCTGATTTCCACTACCATTTGTGTGAAAACTGCCTCCTTATTTCACTCCTAAATGGCCTAGCTCTAATTTTAAGATTATTGTACTAGCAAGATCCCACAAACAGTGATAAGGTGACTGATCAATTAAACTGGAGGTTTGAAAGCCATGACTAACTTCTCATTTTGAAAAGTGTTGGGTAGACTTCAGCATTCAAAGAGATTTGGATTGATTACTGAGCACCTGGGACAGAAATCGGTTCAAAATATGAAAACAGAACAAGTCAAGTGAGGTCTGAAAGAGTTGGTTGAGTGAAAAACCTTTTTCCTGTTTCTATATACTTGCAATTTCAGTTACTGTGTACCTCAGAAGGTAAAATTACTCTGGTAATGCACATGCATTTGGCTGTTTAAAAGTGTAAAATTACTCTTAAAAGGCCCTTGAATGAGGCTATATTCCTGAACCTACAGATAAATTACTCTATTTTTGTAAGGCTGTGAAAAAAAGTTGTGATATTTTAATCCAAAAGTTGGGGTCACACTTTGTGGTTTTGGTGTGGTCAGTTTAAGTTCAAGTGTCTACAGTGAGTACCCCCTCCCATTGAACCGTCAACCAGTCCTGTTTTTGTAATGAAGAAAAAACAAATTGAATGTGATGGGACCTCGATTTAACATCTTGTATGAAGGAGGCACCTACGATAATGCAGGGCTCCCCCGGTGAGAGACCTGGGTTTGATTCCAGGCAGGGCACAACGTTGGGCAAATTTCCTTACTCCACTCGCCTCTGTTTACCTAGAAGTAAGTAGGAACCCGGTTGTTAGTCGATTAGCAGATCGCTTTTCTGGGGGTAATAATTCCTCAAAAAATAATAAAAATTTGGTCACTCAATCCACGACTGATTGTGGGACACTGCTGTGCGCAATTGCTGCCACGTTTCACCCACAAAATGTACAATCAATTAACTTTACAGTATATTCTGTGAAGCGCTTTGAGACGTCTCGAAGACATGATAAGACGCTATATCAAATGCAACGATCATTATATTTTCCAGAAAGTGGTAAGCAGGAATGGTCCCTCCAGGGAGAGAGTATGTATTCCATTCCAATAAAATCTCTGGAATTTTCATGTGTAGGTGGGATGCATGGAACACTGTTTTGGATATTTTTAGCAGGGTGATCGGTTTCTACATGTTTTAGACACCCAGCTGAACCCCCAAAAAGTTGTCTTTATACAGATTTTCCCAACCTGCAATTAATCAAGGTCAAAGTTGTAGATACCATGCAAAATACTGAGGCATAAAGCCATCAATGGGAGAGAATAATTACTTGTGCTATGATTTCAGAGTGTGAAGAGTTCCAAAATATTTATTTTAGTAAGTTGAAAAGATCCATCTGTGCAAATGCATTGGATCTCTTGCACTATTTATTTTGATATGACATAAAGTGCCGAGAATTGGAAGAACTCTGATCTTAAGAGGCCCTTAAAAAACTGACTGAACTCCAGCAGTTTCCTATTCAGGTTAACATGCCATGTGTGTTCATGCTGTAAAAGAGAACTTTATGCTGCTAACTACTGTATTACGCAGACTTTGTGTGTTGCAATAAAAAGGGAAGTTGACTTGTGGTACATTTGTTCCATGGCTTGAACAATAAGCTATGTTTAGTGTATGTACTCCTCACTCAGTCATTCTTAGTTCTTAGGCACTGACATTTATTTTCTGTACTTTAGGGTTACAATTGCCTGTTTTACAAAAAAACACTTTCAGCCATGACATTTGTGTAGATTCGATCAACAGTTAAAGTTACATATGCTAAACTATGCAATTCTTTAAAAAAAAGATTGCTCTTTTAATTCCTCAAAGTTAACCTGATCATTTATAAGAATAAAGAAGTACATTTACAATAACTATTGACTTTAATCAGTCTCTTATTTTGTTGAACAAATGATAAGCGGTCACAATGCAGGAGAATAACAAACTGCAATACAGTTAGGGATGATTGCTCCTAATTGTATTCATTTCCATAAATTATCTCTGCAATTTGACAAAATACTAATTAATATATAATTTATAATCTCAGGGGTCGAAACATAACTAAGAAATCAATATTTTATACAAATCAAAAAGTCATGGCAGCAATTTCAGGTTTAATTAAATATGCAAGGGTGGAAAATATTCATCTTCTTTGGCCGTCAACTTTGTTAATCAGTCCAGGAGCCTTAAATAGAATTTTGATTGAAGGAATGTCCCCAGCAGTATTGATGCCACAGTTGTTTGTCACCCACTTCCTGCAGAGGTCTGGGAACCTCCTGATCTCCAGTAGCAAGAGTGCTGGAGCTCAATTTGCACATCCTCAGTTTAAATGCAGATTTAGCTGATAAATTCTGCTGTCAAAAGTGTGCAATTTTTATACAATTCATACCCAAGCCACTCAGAAAAGCATCTGCGATGATGGTGCAGACTGTCAAACTGCAGTATGGCTTTGGTCATAACGGTCCAGTTCAACTGAAGAATAAAATCGGGATGGAAACTGCAAAGTGAAGGATATCCTTGATTAGTTATGATCTAAACAGGGAGCTTGACGCCTAATTTATGTTCGATATGTCAAAATATTTAAACCCTAAATTGGTGCAGTTTTATTTTCAGTACATGATTGAGAAAATGTTTTGCTGTACAAGTTAAATCAGGGTGGATTTCAGGAACATTCAGGAAGCAATTATTTTACAATATTTCAAGTAGCTGAAGTAAAAACAGTATTTATTTCTCCATTTTTTCAGCAAATTGCCTGACATTCCTATGGGATCGCTATCATAAAACTACATTGGCCTGGACCTTGCTTAATATTATTACATGCAGATACAGGAGTTGTGTGGGACCAGGCAGTTCAATTCCCAGCACTATTTTTAAGCTTGATTGTGAATAACATTAAATGATAATTAGTGAGTAGGTGCAATGGAAGCACAAATAACGAGTTTTTATTTTGGCAAGCCAAGAAGGTAATACGTAAATGTCTAATTATTTTCTTACAATTCAGCTATATAAACGATGATGGACAAAAACTGTAAGATTGTTGATAAAATAATGTTTTCTTTTCATCATACTTTACATAGCCATAAGCTATTGTGCAATCTTAAATGAATAATTAAGTAACACCTTTAAATCACAAACAAGGTGGCAGCTATCGTGGATAGAAGCACATATGGATCTCTCCATAAGCTTGCTTTGGGATAGATAATAATAGTAACCTTAAATTTTTTCATAATGACACATTGGTACTTTTCACTGTACTCATCCAAATGTTAGCCCATAAAACACACAGTCACTCCACATTGCACTATATTGTGAAGCGCTTTGGGACATCCTCCTGACAGGAATGGCACTACACCAAGTATTATTATAAACTATTATTATAAACGCCCAACTCCTTAAAGGCTATGATTTGCAAAATAGAGAACTTGCCTCCACTTCCAAGTTGAATTGATGGGCCAGACATGTCTTGGACATGAGGTTTATGAAAGGCACTATATCAAATGTAAGAATTTTACAATTCTGCTAAGCAGAAGGCAGACACTTCCCCTCCTGGGAATGGAGTTATCCCAGGTTTTTCTTGAGTACCCCTTTACTAAAAAAAATTCTTACATTTGATATAGTGCCTTTCATGTTGGTAGGAATGCTTTACAGGAGATATATTGTAACATGGATTGACTGTGTTTTGTTGGCAAATGCAGCAGCCAATTTGCACAGAGCAATGTCCAGCAAACAGCAATGAAGTGCATGACGAATTTCATTGGGGGACTGTTGGCAGGATACCAGGAGAAACTATTATTTTTTCAAATAGTGCTGTGAGATATTTATCATCCACCTATACAGGCAAACGGTATCTATGTACTAATGTACAAAGCCCTTGTTGTGAGGATTATGCAGGTTCTATAATAATAATAATCCTTGCATTTGATATAGCGCTTTTTTCATCTTCTAGACGTCTCAAAGCGCTTCACAGAATATACTGTAAAGTGAATTGACTGTATATTTGTGGATGAAAGGTTACTTGTCTTGTTTACACTGGAGGAGGGGTACATATGGTACATGATACAAAAAAATTGAAAAGGTGAGATGGAAAAAACATTACTTTTTTTAATGTTTTGTTTCTTTTAACTAATTTTATTTTTATTTCTCCCTATTGATGTTACAGGAAGAGCAAAACAGAGGCAAACCCAACTGGGAGCACCTGAATGAAGACCTGCACGTATTAATCACTGTGGAAGATGCACAGAATAGAGCCGAAATCAAGCTAAAGAGGGCAGTGGAGGAAGTTAAGAAATTGCTTGTACCAGCAGTGAGTACCATTTTAGTAATGTTATTTCAATTGTTCTTTACTGTATGCTAAAGAATAGCTCCGAACATAAAATCAAAGGAGTTGAGAAGTGAAAATATAAATCCAACAAAGGATTGGGTTTCTCTTTCAGTGTCAAGAAACAAATCCATCTTTAAGAGGGAACCTCTTCCCAGATTTAGAGCAAACACAAGCAGTTGGCAGTCTTGCAAACATATCATGTTTTCGTTCACCTAATCTAAATTTACTCTCCTTATTGCTCTCCCATGCCCTGCAATATTCATCCTCAAATATCTATCTATAGAATTATGCATAATGTTAAAGAATTTTTTTTTAGGAATCATCAAACATTTCAGAATTTTTACAATTAGCATATGGGTGGAATTATAGTATTAGAACAGCATGAATTCAGACCCGGTTCTAAAACACTTTGTTTTAGAGTAATAGGATTTTACGGACTCCAACCACCACAGGGTTCCCCTGTATATGAAGAGGGTATGCACTGAATCCATTCAGCAATGTTGTTATTCCACTTGTAAGGAATATATTTTTTGCTTGTTGAAATGTTTCATCTCTGAAATATCGCAAATAAGAGAAAATTACAGTTGATTTAATTTTTATGCAGTACCTATTTTGGAAATAGATTTGGCTGCACATTTCATGTACTGCCACATTCTCTGTTTTATCCGTGCTGTGAAAGCACCTGCCTAAAATTTCATTTCCTGCATAAACACTTGTAATGATTGGGACTGCAGAATTTTGTTCATGTGGGATTTTCTCAGTTTATAATGCTTTAGGGTTTAATGGCAGTGTCATAAGAATTTAGAACAAATACTGTCACGCTCTGAGAAGAGGAAAACAAATTTGTAGTCATACTTCAGAACACGTCTACAGTCAACATTTAGAATAAAATTTACATTCATAGAAGGTATTCAAAAGTGGTTGTAGCATCTACATCATTATGAAAGCAAATTGCATTATAAAGATGCTGTATGTAATTTTAACTTGTTTTATCTGGACATAAGATTGACTGTGTTTGTCGCTGAAATGAGTGATGTGGCCAGAACACATGGCAGTTTTACTTCTGTTTCCACCTAAAAATCCACTAATGTAAATCTTTGACATGAAGTGATACTGAAAGAACAATAAAATGCGTGAGCTGCAGCAATGCACAGCGATAATTTTGTGCAATTGCGTGCCTTGTGGTGTACATTCAGCTTCCAGAATCCCTCCAAGTTTACATTTAAATGAGAAGTTAGTGAAACTGACCAAGCGAATGAAGATTGAGTCGATCTTGAATAATTCTCATTTCCTATATAATGTTCTCTGTATGACCTTTCAGTGGTGCTCTGCTAGAATGCATCACGTTCTTAACCAGACCCAGATTTTCCTGTTGGTTTGTTCTGAAAATTGAAAAACAAGTGTACCGCTCTACAAGAGAAGAGGAGTGAATAGCTTAGGTACCAACCTATTTGTAAGGGATTTTGGGTAGTAATGACACAACGGTGACTCTCATGCCCTGGTCACTTTGTTTTAGAAAAGGGTATTGCAACCCTGTGAAGGGACAAGGTGTCAGTGAGGCTCTCCTGATTGGCTCATGCCAGAGCCTCCGCAGCTCAGGCACTGGCAGAATCAGCATCCACGGATGCACACTCTATCTCACCAAGCCAGTCAGGAACCTAGGCATCTTGTTCGACCCTCAACTGTCCTTTCTCCCTCACATCCATGTCACGACCCGCTCTACCTTCTCCCACCTCCGCAACATTGCCCAACTCTGCCTCTGCCCCACCCTTCAGGCCGCTGAAACCCTCATACATGCCTTCATTACACCCAGGCTTGACTATGTCAATTCCCTGTTTGTCAGTCTTCCCAACTCTTCCCTCCACAAGCTGCAGATCATCCAGAACTCTGCAGCTTGTGTCCTCTCCCGCACCAGGCTCTGTGACCCCATCACACCCACCCTCTCCTGGCTCCACTGGCTCCCCATCCCTCAGAGGATCGAGTTCAGAATCCTCATCCTCACCTTCAAAGCCCTCCACAGCCTTGCCACCTGCTAACTCTCCATCCTGCTAACCCCTTATCAACCCGTCTGCTCAGCAGGCTCCGACCTGCTCCATATCCCACCCCCACCCCCGGGTCCTAATGACTCTGACTGTTCAGCGTCTTGGGACGTCCTCCTGACGTGAAAGGCACTTTACAAATGTCATATTGTATTGTATCCCCTCTCTGAATAGGACGTTTATCTTTTTTCTCCTTTCTCCTTTTGCTTTGTTTCAGTAACTTGTTTTCTCTATGGCTACTTTCTCCCCAAACTACAGCTGTGCTCATGTTCTCTTCAAACATCCCCATCCAAAATTAATAATCATCATCATTACATTTGATATGGCACCTTTCACATGAGGTCTTCTCAAAGCACAGGATATAATGTAATGTGCAATGACGTCATATTTTGTAGGCAAACGAGGCATCTAATATGCGCATAGCAATGTCCCACAAATTGCCATGAACTTAATGACCAGTTTTACTTTAGTTATTGATGGCCATGAAACTCCCCTTTTAAATTACATCATGTAATCTTCTGGGTCCTGAGCAGGCAAATAGGACTTTGCTTTATCGCCTCATCCAAAAGGCGACACCTCCAACAATGCAGCGCACTCTTAGCATTGCATTGGAATGTTACCCAAGATGCGAGTTCAAAGTCCCTATATGGGGCTTGAACCCACAACCTTCTGATTTAGAGGTGAGATTGCTACCAACTGAGCCAGACTGACACCAAGATGAAAAGAAACATTGGATGCAGGTGAAAATTCCTATAACCAACTGCTTAAGCTGACCAGTGTGCGACAGCAAGCTGTAATTGAAAACTGCATGACTTTTCTCCTGCAGTTAGCAGTGTTAAACTGGAACTTCTGATTTTCTTTTTTAAAAAATACCCTTTAAAGATCTGCTTTAATATTTTTAATTCAGCACAGATTTTGCACATTCCCACAGAATGGATGGTACATGTTACATTCCTGATTTAATTGCCTCAACATTGGATGGATTAAATTTACTTTCTGCTCCACAAACACATACATACACCCCTACCCTTCCTCTAGGCAGGGGTCCTCAAACCTTGTCACAATGAGCCTCACTAAGCTAAGACAAAAAAACAATTGCACCTCCACACGGTTCACCAAGACAACACAAAGAACCAAAAGTCCTATCTCCACAAGAATATGCGCAAGAAGGTAGATCAATACAGTTACAATAAGAGTATGAGTGTCAAAAGCACCAATTCTACTCCAGAAAGCACCCACCGTGCTATCTCACTGCTCTAGCCAAAAAGAGCACAAATCACTGCAGCCAAAACAAACCTGCACATACACTCCAGGAAATCATAACACCAAACTACTACAGATCATGTCAGTACATGTGAAGTCCTGTAGTTCAGTGGTTAGAGCACTCACCTCACAAGCGAGAGTCCTGGGTTCAATTCCCGGCAGGGCGAAACGTTGCGCAAGTTTCCTTACTCTACATGCTTCTGTTCACCAAGCAGCAAGCAGGAACCCCAGTTGTTAGTTGATTGGCATGGGTTTGATTCCCGGGCAGGACGAAACGTTGGGCAAGTTTCCTTACTCTACATGCCTCTGTATAATGCAAGGATTATTATTACAATATCTATCAGTCACACTCAATCAGTGGGAGGAGTGAGATGGTCTCCCTGCTGTATAAAGTGTTGGAATTTGTGTTACAGTGCAGAAAGGTGGAGGCAGTACAGTGTTTGGCTGTGGTGGAAAGCACCTTCAAGGGACCTGGCCATCATGGGAAGCGCCGTTGCAGGGCCCGCCATCAGGCTGTGGTGCGGAGCCATTTGCAACACGGCTATAACTCTGTATTCTACTACGTGAGATTTTCTCCTCCCACCTTGATCTTATTTAAAAGTTAGTAAGCGTGTTTATATACCAATTCCAGCGGGCAGAAAGCAAGATTAGTTTAGAATTCCTGCTAAAAGTATTCATTTTCTGTCTCACGTTTGTTACAATTTAGGGTATAAAATTAGATTTTCCTTTTCTATTTAACCTCTGTCTAGTGAGTAGTTCTGTGACACAGCGTGTAACGGATGCGGGTTTGTCCATAATCTGTTGTGATCTGTCATGTTGCCATGGGAGACACTTGGCAGAATTCAGGTGTTTTCCCAGAGGGAAGAAGGGAATGTCTTGCATAGTTTGTAGTCATTAACCATAGAAGAGCGTAACAATAATAATAATTACAATAATCTTTGCATTTAATATAGAGCCTTATCCCATCTTCTAGACGTTTCAAAGCAATTCACAGAATATACTGTTAAATGAATTTACTATATATTTTGTGGGCAAAATGTGGCAGCCAATTGTGCACAGAAGTGTCTCACAAACAGTCATGGATTGAGTATCCAAAAAATATTTTTGAAGGGATTATTATCCCCGGAAAAGCAAATCAACTAAAAAACAGGTTCCTACTTACTGCTAGGCGAACAGAGGCATCTAGAGTAAGGAAACTTGCCCAACGTTTCGATCTGCCCGGGAATCAAACCCAGGTCCTCTCGCTTGTGAGGCGAGGGCGCAAACCATTGAGCTACAGAACTCCATAGTTTAGGAGTACATTTCAAAATGTTCTTTGGCTAATCGCAGATAAATTTACAGTGGAGGATACACAACACTTGGGAGTGTTCAGTGATTGAATCATATTTCTACTTTTTGTTGATGTGACATCCATTTCAATTTTTAAAAAATGGCTGACAACCATGGACCTTCAGCAAATTGCTAAACTGTGATCAGCGCTTTCAAACTGTTTTGTTGAATCACGTTTGGTTTAATTTAATTTTTGTAAAGTGTAATTCTGAAGTGAAGAGTGCTTAAATCAGTTGCACCAACTGCAATTTCCCCTCCCAAATCCAAGCAAGGAATTGCAATTAAAACCTTTCTAGGTAGTACTTGCTTCGCTTTTCTTGCTGAGGCATGTGATTAGATAAAGGCATCTCT